CGATTTCTTCTTATGGGGCTACCTGAAGTCAAGGGTTTATTAACAAATCCAACAAATCTGCACGAACTTAAAACAAAATTTGTTCTGAAATAAGACAACTATCGCCTGATACACTATGGAGCGTTATGAAAACGACAAAGAAGCAAACCCTAAGTTGTCAAAACAACCATGGCCATCATTTGAAAGACATTATATGCAAAAACTAGTTCTAATAAAGCACAAAAAGGTTTTTCTTTCAAATAAAACAAGTTTAAATATCCTAGCGTTAATAGTTTTCGTTCTATTGACATATTAAAAAGGGTCAGTTACTTCTGGGGCACCCTGTACTTTGGCGTTAACTGTGCAGTTTCTTGAAGATGTCTATTTTGACATATTTATTCTGGGTTGCAGCAAAAACGCGTGATATTCTCAGAGGATTTGTGGTAACGTTAATTAAAGTTAACCGCCACCTGACATGCTTTGTACTCCACATGATATAAATTGGGCGCTTGCTCAGTACTTTTAGGCAGTAATCCAATGTATGTTAGTTTCTGTTTAAAGAATATGCAAAGGACAAAAATCTGCTATTTAAAGACTCATATTTTCATGCGCATACCGAAAAAAGGCTGAGAAAATTTACATAACTAAGAAGAAGACGACGCGATCGCTAGAACAAAACATTTATTCGCCTTACGTCTAGGGATCTGTCGCTGATTCATCGTCAGATACATAAGCAGAAAGAAATAGCAGGTACGAGTGCTACTGCTTTCTACTTATGTATCTCATGATGAATCCGCAACAGCTCTTGAAACGTCAGGCGAATAAATGTTTCGTCCCAGCAATCGAGTTGTCATCTTCTAAATTACTTTCTTCGACTCACATTGTTGTTTCTGTTGGCAATTGCATAACTCCCTATGCCTAAATAGTTGCATAGGTAATTTTTTTAATTCAATAGCTTACTTCTTTGGTCGCCAGGACCGATTCCTCATGGACTTCTCAGACTTAGACCTAACAACTTCCAGAAAGTGCTACTGTGCACATACTGAAAATTGTATGTAGACACACTTCCCGCAGAAGTTCAAGTGTTTTAAAATCTCACTATGTTGGTATTGTATGCTCCACTGAATATTTACCCATCTTTAGCATAAATTCGGCATCTCAGTAGGTCTTAAAAGAAAAGGAAAGATTGTTAGTATACTACTCAGTGATGAAAGACAGACGGTTCGGTGACCTTATCTGCCGCCTAAGCTGCCGACCGCATCGCACATCATATCGCTTCTTGGAAGCCTTGCAGGCCATCAATATTTGCCCTGCTCGCAGCTATCAGTCAGTCATGGACATGCTAAAACTGCTGATACCACCGGTACTGAAACGCTGCCTGCCCGACCGAACAGCCATCAAACGGCAATACTAAGATTGAGTGTTGTGG